GGTCCATATGAAGTTCCAGAGGAAAGGCCTGGCAGAGAGACGGTGTTGTTCTTGCTCACAGGGTGCGGGCAGGGAAAATAGCGATGACCTCCAAGGTGAAGGAAGCGTGTGTGGAGGGAAAGCAGAGAGCCAAGGGGAAGGGAAAGTCCAGTCTGCATCCCAGGAAAATACACACATCCCTCCTATTGGAAGGTTCTGAGACAATGGAACAAACAGACAATGGACTGCAGTCCACCTCCGCCTGGAAACAGCCCCAGACAGTGACATTTTAGGAAACAACTGGAGGAGGAGAGAATAAACACGCGGTCTCCAAGCTGCAGGATGATGGACCTTGGGAGTGGACACCCCTCTTGTAAAGAAAGGTGGGAAACAAGGAAAGAATAATGAGACTTTCTGAAAGCCTAGGTTAGGGTTTTGTCATCAAAACAGCCATCACTGTGCGCATACCAGACCCCACAAGCAATCAGCGTGACAAGAAAGCACTAACCTGAGAATCAAAGCTGTTCTGTCCTCAGCGTCTGGGGGCCAGGAAACAGCCTGAGCGTGATCTGGACACTGCGCCCCTTTATTTCCAGCTGGTGTCCGGGTTTTGCTCCTCCTCAGCTCCCTCCGCTCTCATCTCAGCAGGACTCAGCCCCGGGGAGCCGGCCAGGCCCACCAGCACCACAGGCTCTGGGAACCTGTCACCCGTCAGGCCCAAGGCGGCCTCCATGTGCTCAGCCTTCTGGCGTCTGCCTTCCCGCTGGCAATGCCAGTACCTGTCGGCTTGTGGAGAACAGTCTGAACCACCGTCTAGGCAATACCAACATAGAAAAGCAGGTGATAAATATTCACATTCCTGCTTTGGCCTTTGGGGTCAGCATCCTCAGCACTATTTGGTGGCTGTCGAAGCTCTGTAACTGCAGGAATGGCACAGAGCAGGATCTCTGTGACCGAGCAGACGGGGTAAAGGAGGAGAGAGTCCTGGAGCCTCAGTGGCTTGTGCAGGCTTTTATTGGGATTTACCAAGTACATGGCTGGCAAGGGGTGCCAAGTCTTCACTCTTCCTGGGCTCTCTGGCATTCTCTGGTGGCCTCTGCTCACCCATTCATTCTGTTTTCTCGGGCACCTCTGTTCTCTGCTGGTGTCTCCATGATGCCGCCCTTATAAGTGCAGTATGAGCCCAGATGTACCCATTTACGCATGCCCACACCCTACTCCAGGGGCCCGCCATCAGGCATGCATTCAGGACCACAAGGATCCATCATCTATCCTGATGGCGGGAGGGCAGAAAAGCCTGATACCTTTTCACTTACCCTGCAAGCTCCTCCCTGGTTGTCACCTGGAATCCCAGCCCAGGGACCAGGGACCTGACCTGAGCCAGCAGTGATCTCCACCTCCTTCCAACATCCTTCTCCTTCTCCCTCCCCCAGACCCCCAGCGTCCTCATTGGGCAAATTGAAGCACAAATTGAGGCAGCGCCCTGGCTAAAGCAGAGGGAGCACCTGTGCATTGCGGCCTCCGGCCCAGCCCCAGCCGGAAAACCGGTCTCATGTCTGGTCTATCAGAATTCCCAAGAGGATTCTCACAGGTCAGGGAACAGTCCCAAGGTGCGGGTTCACGGGTCTGCTGCCCTGAGCCTAGCTTCACTGTAGTGCTAACTTCCTTTATGAAGTGATAGACTAAGAGTAACATCTAGCACGGGTGGGGGTCTTGCCAAGAGTCCCGGCTCTGGAGTCTCATCAGACTTCAGCACTCAAATCATGGATCAAGGCTTTCCTAAACGCCAGGCCTTGGCAATTAGTCTTGGTAGGTATCTTGGTGTTCTAACTGTGAAATGGGAACAACCGCAGGGATGTTGAGATTTAATTGAAATCAGGCATGCAGGCACTCAGAACACTTCCCCCTCCTCCTCCCAAGACCCCTCCAGGCCAGCAGGCCCCAGTGGGGCTCTCTCCAGGAGTGTGCAGGGCCCTCACCCTGCCTCCCCACCCACAGCTAAAAACCCTATGAGGCCCCCTAGTGGCTAATGTCCTCTGCAGCCCTTCCCCTTCTGTGGCTCTCTGGACCTCCAAGCTGGACCCTCACCTGGTCTGTACTGTCCTGACTAGTCCAAAATTTACTCCTGCAGAATCTAGGTGCATGGGTCTCCCTATCCATGCTATATACAAGATCAAACCATTCACTAAGCTAAATGTTTTTGATTGTCATTAAAACGATTATCAAAGTTAGCTGGGGGGCGGGGGGAACCAGAGAGATGGTTTGGAGATGCTAGCATGTAAAAAAGGCTGGTCAATTAGGAAAAAACCCCACACTGGGCATGGGGTATGGCACTGGTGTGAACAGGATGCCCAGCCGTTCAGCCTGGCCACTACCACTTCCTCCTCTCTGGAGATCCCAGTACAGCTGAGCAGCAATGAGGACCCACACCTAGAGATGGAGCAGCAGGTTCTAGGTTCCTCCATTCACCAAGTTTGCTGGGTGGGGGGGGCAGTTAGTAGCTGTAGATGGGGGGAAGGAGCCTATTCCACCTCTCAGGGCCTCCTACTCAGCACCGGTATGGGGATGCAGCATTCACCCCAACCCTCGCTGTGAGCTGCCCACAGCAGCAGGCTGCACTGACTTAATTGAATTTTCTGTCATACACTTGGAGCTAGTTATTGAGTTAAACATGCAAATATATTCAAGATAGTTTTTGTCATAAGTGCTTCTCCCAACCTTCCTGTGTGAAGGAAAAGCAGGGCAGGAGCCGGCCCAAACAGGCCTCTGGCCCACTGCACATACCCAGCCCAGGCAGTGGCTGTGTGCCGGGGCCACCATTGCAGCTGGCACTGCTGTCCTGGGCAGGAAGAAGGAACCCAGACCAGCTGTCACTTCTACTGTCAACTCAGACTGCTTATACCAGTGACTTCTGTCTTCATCAGGGATAGCAGTGATGAGGGCTAACTAAAGGTTCTTGACCTACTCCTATCTCTGGTCAGAAGTAACTCTGGATTTAGCTCCACCATCTTTTTACAGGCACTGACAGTCTGTTGAGTTTCCAGGTGTCAAATGTTTGAGGCTGCCAGGGCCCTGCCAGGACTGCAGCACAGGCTGCAAACCACAGCTCCATGTGAGTGATATGGGTGCTGAAACCATGTCCTCGAACTTTAGGAACATTACAATCACCTGGAAGACTTGCCTCAGCACACACGGCCAGGCCCGCCCAGCTTCTGATGCAGGAGGTCTGCGTGAGCTGGGAGAATCTGGAGTCCAGGTGGAGCTAATGCTCCCAGCCCTGCAGGCCACACCCCAGGAACACAGTCAACCAAAACATGCCCAGTGCCCACACCAGGCCTGCCACTGAGACTCCTGGAGAGGGTGGGGTGAGCCTACTGGACAAACCGTCTACATTTCCAACTTGTTCCTCGGGAGAAAAACACTGGGCCAAGAAACCACAGTAAATCAGAATGGGGTGAGCAGACACTGCCATTGAGGGGCAAACACATGATCACAGCGAAGGCTAACAAGCCTGCCTGCTTTCTGACCTGGAAGGTGGCTTCATGTCAGGCCATGGTAGCAGAACTAGAGTGCTGTGGGTAGGCACAAGCAAGCCAGCTTCCCAGAAACCCCACTCTGCAGACAACCACTTCTACAGGTAGGCAGAGGCCTGGCAGCCTGTGGGGATTTGTACCTACAAACCGGACCCCATATGGGTCATGGGAAGCACCCCTATATGTCCAATTTTCATAAGATGGCACAGTCTGCACAGGAGTCTTCTGGAAGCATCTTCATCTGTCCACTTCCCAGGCCTTGGTAAGAGTGCACATTCTTCCCCTTCCTTGGGAGGCAAATCCATTGTGGATGTTTGTAGAGGTATGAGATGAAACTTCTCCCTCCCTCAAAGGTAAAACACTCAGATTAAGATGAAAGAGGCAATCACCTCCTTCAAGAAGCCTTCCCAGATTACTTTAACCCAACTATATTTCTTTTTTTTTTAAATCTGCTTTTTTTTTTAAGATTTATTTATTTATTTGTTTATTTATTTATTTATACAAGCACCGGGTACAGTCAGAAGGGCGGGAGGGTGAGAGAATTCACCAGAGCCAGAGCGGGGAGCAGAACAGGCAGAAGGACTGAAGTACACTGCTGAGGGGAGCAGCAGGCGGCAGGAGAGGTCTGCGCACCACGTGGGACCCTCCTCTGGTGGCCAGGGAGCAGCCAGGGAGCAGCCGGGATCGAACCGGCGCCACAGAGGCTGCGGGCAGCTCTGCAACCCAGCGCTCAACTGCTGCGCCACCAGGGAGGCCCCCAACTGTATTTCTTTCCTCTCTTTTATTTCCAAAACTCATAGAGTGCAAAGACCATTCATTCAACAAATATGTATTAGCATCTTCTAACAGTTGTTTGTGGATGGGGGGAATTTCTGGAGGATTCAGCGACAAGCAAAGACAAGCCCATATTTCCTCACGACATTGACCATCTGATTTCTCTTCCCAGGTCTGCTCCTTTCCCCAGGCCCCCACTGAGAGTGCCCTGGAGCACAGAAAGCCCTTGAAAGTCCCTTCAAGAACTCCCTAAGCCCTCTCCAAGAGACTAGTTAGCATCACTGACATGAGAACCTTAACCCATGCTACTTCCTTCCTTCAAAAGTTTAATTCACACCCTCATATCAGCCTCTCCCCCCACAGCAATCACATGACCAGCTGCCCACTCCACTTCCTCCTTTCTTCTTGGAATAAAGCCCCAACCCAACCCCCTGCTTGGGTAAACCCAGGCTGCAGCACCCACTGCCCACCACATGCCTCTCCCCAAGACCCCAGCTCTCGGCCCCAAGCACCCCTCCTATCAGGGCACCCGGCCTGGGGCACTGTGGACCCCCCTCTTAGCCTGACATCAGGGTCTGTGCTGAGGGAGATTTAAACCCAGTTCTTGCAGCTGGGGTGAAGAGGAAGGAGAGCCCATCAACTCCAATAAGAAAAAGAAGTGTTTTACTCACACACAAATACACACGCCCCGTCCCCCCAACCCCCCCCCCCCAATCTGGTCAAACAATTCCAATCTGAGACTCAGCAGTCTTCTAGAGTCCTTCTGGCCTGGGTTGCAGAGGAGCCTGACTCGAGGAGTCCACAGAATCCCCATCTGAGGGTCCCAGAGGCAACAGTGCTGCTGCCCTCATATCCGAGGCAGAGGCAGATCTTGGAGAAAGAGGCTTCGCCCAGCTTGGGCTGTGTCTTCAGACCTCGGTCCTCCCAGGCACATCTGGCGGCCTCCCCTCTCAAGCGCCCATCAGCGCTGTGCAGATGCGGGAGGTGAGGGGCTCTCCAGGCCAATTCGCCATTTTCAGGGCCCTGAGGACTCAGTTCACAGTCTGGGTTCAGGGGGCCCCGAGCGGGGTGCAGTTAGCGAGCCTGTCCTCAGTCCTCGGGTGTACGTGCTGTTGGCGCAGAAGGTGGGAAGCCCCTGCATCTACACCCCCGTCTGCTCTTTAATCCATTCCCGAAACACTGGCAGCCTGGTGTACACGCCTGGCTTGTCCCTCTGCGCGCAGCCGTCACCCCAGCTCACCACACCCGCCTGGAAGATCCGGCCATCCGCCTCCACACTGGACAAGGGACCCCCGGAATCGCCCTGAGGGGAGACAGCCTCGTGTGAGCACCCCACTCAGGCTCCCCAGCCCCTGCATGCATCCCCTTGACCCCCCAGCTCCCTTCGCCCCCCAAACGCACCTGGCAGGCGTCCACGCCCCCGCTGAGGTAGCCCACGCACATCATGCGCGGGGTGATCTGCTGCGGCAGCAGCTTCTCGCAGGTGGTCTGGTTGATGACCCGGATCTCGCCCTTCTGCAGGATCATGGCCGCGGAGCCTGCGAGAAGCGGGCAGGCTGGGCCGGCGCCTCGGGAACGCCCCGGCTAGGGGCCCCACGGGGAGAGCCCAGAGGCACCGTTCAACACACCTTGATGACCCAGGGGAGGTACGGGGAGAGGCCACAGAAGGTGCACTGAGAGGCTCGCGGGCCTGTTAGAGGTGAGGCCCTAAGAGCAGGTTGCTTTCCTCACTCTAGTCTGCACGTCTCCAGTGAGACACTGTACCAATATTCTGATTCGTTCAGTGTGACATTTACCAAGTACCAGCTTTATAGAGGCTTCTAGAGGGACTGCAGAAGCTGGGCTCCCTCCGGGACCTGACAAAGGGCCTTCTAAGTCCATTTGCATTCACAAGCGCCATTTGGGAAGGTTTGTATGTTCACAGGTGGAGAAATGGGCCTGGGGAGTTTAAGTCACTTGCTAAGGTCATTCCCGTGGCACAGCCTGGTCTCCAAACCCCCCACTCTCCCCACCTGGCTCCAAGTCACTCCTAGACAGCCCCACCGGCCACTCACCTCCCTCTTCTGTGTGGCCCCAGCCGGTCACCCAGATGGCCTTGCCCGTGGGGAAGGAATGTGAGGTGTCCGGTAGGCAGATGGGGCGGATGGTGCTGCTGTACTCCACCGGCTTCTCCAGCTCCAGCAGCGCGATGTCGTAGTCAAAAGTGAAGTCGTTGAAGGAGGGATGACTGATGATGCGCTTGAGTCCGAGCTCCTGCACCCCTGGGGCACTGCGCTTTCTCTGGTCATGCAGGCCCAGGTAGGCCTTCCACATTTTGGGGTCAGAGTAGCTGGGGAGGGGACGGGGGAGGTGCCATGAGCGCCACCTGGGCTGCTGAACCCAGGGAGGAGCAGTTGTGCCAGCTTGGCCTTGACCCTCAGCTGGAAACTGCAGCCTCCTCCCCACACCACCCCCCTAGACCTCTTTGTTTGCCTCTTAATATATTTTAAGTGATTACCATATATATAATTAATAATTAATCTGATCTTTCACAGAAGAATGGAAATCAATCCAAAGAATTTCATAACATGGTAGTACATATTCTAAGGACAGAATGAATTAAAAAAATAAGTTGAACGTTATCTACTGGGCTCACTATTGGTAGCAGTAGTGGTTCAGCAATTTGGACACTTTATCAGTTATAGTGGATACCTGAACAAACAAGGAAAAGATGTTGATTTTGATGGGAGCAGATCCAGTGTGGGGGGAGGCGCCAATTTGGAGTGGGGGGGAACTCTGAGCAACTGGGGTACAGTCCCGAGGGAGCAGGGAAATCTCACAATTTCACAGACCAAAAAAATGGCCTCCTTTATTTTTTAAAATTTTCTTGTATTTTTAAGATTTATTTATTTATGCATACAAGAGTTGGGGTGCAGGCCAGAGGTGCAGGGGGTGAGAGGATTCACCAGAGACAGAGTGGGGAGCAGAACAGGCAGATCTACTGAAATACACTGCTGAGGGAATCAGTGGGCTATACAGGAGAGGTCTGCTGCACCAAGTGGGTAGCTCCCTGGCCAGGGATCAAACCTGCAACAGTGGCTACCAAAAATAAAATGGTCTTCTTTCATTTGTACTTGCATCTTAGGTTTGACATTTTTCAAAAGAGAACAATGGGAAAAATCTATCCTTAAAATGGAGAATTTGTGTGATCAAGAAAAGCATAAAGACCTGCTTTATTTTATGGTCCCTCTTCACACTTAATCTATTGTTGCCAGATAAGAACGTCCCTAACACTGCTTTTATGACATCCTTTTTATTTTATTCAACAGCCTAAAATGGTTCACAAGACCTAAAATGGTTCACCTGCCCCAGTGTGATCACCTGCGATCCATCTTGCCTCACTGTTTCTCCTCAGTCACCCTCATGCCTGACCACATTCATCCGTCCATCTAGTCATTTAACCAATAATTATCGGGCCTCTATGATGTTCCAGGAATTGCACTAGACCCAGTCTTCAAGTTCACAGTGTACTTGTGGAGAGTGTGTGAACAGCACAGAGGACTGGGGCAATGCCATGGTAGTGCATGGGATGTGAGGCAGTGAGTCAGGAGGAAGCAGGTCATGAACCAGGCCTTGAGGATGAGGCCAGTCAACATCTGCAGGTGGGCGAGGAAACAGCACATTCAAAGAGAGCAAAGGGCCTGTTTCTGAAGCCCCCAATTGAAATGCATGGCGGGTGTGGTAACTGAGATTGGAGAGATGGGCAGGGGCCAGACAATATGGCCCTGTTCATCACCCTGTGGTATTTCTGCTTTCTCCTGCGAGCATGGCAGGCACTTTTTTTTTTTTTAAAGAACTTTTTTTTTTTAAAAGATTTATTTATTTATTTATACAAGCACTGGGCACAGTCAGAAGCGCGGGAGGGTGAGAGAATTCACCAGAGCCAGAGCGGGGAGCAGAACAGGCAGAAGGACCGAAGTACACTGCTGAGGGGAGCAGCGGGCGGCAGGAGAGGTCTGCGCGCCACGTGGGACCCTCGCCAGCGGCCGGGAATCAAACAGGTGCTGCAGAGTCTGTGGGCAGCTCGCAACCCAGCGCTCAACCGCTGCACCACCAGGGGAGGCCCATGGCAGGCATTCTTCAGAAGGCCCCCTCTGGAACAGTAGTATGCACATGAGAGAGTTGAGAAGGAAGCAAAGAAAACAGATAGAAGGTGCTATAGCCAAGTAGGCTGAGGCAGTCACAGCGTGAGTAGAAGAGAAAAATTGGGAGGCAAGAACTGGTGTTTAAACAGCCATGTACTCCCCTCAGCAGTGTATTTCAGTAGATCCGCCTGTTCTACTCCCCACTCTGTCTCTGGTGAATTCTCCAGAATTGTGGCTTGCGTTCACTATCCTGCAACTCTGGTCTACACCACAGTTCTTCTATGCAAAAAAAAAAGCCTGCCACTTCAAAGCTGTGCAACCTTGAGCAACTGACTTCTTTACCTCTCTGAGCCCGTTTCTGTAAAATGGGGACACAATCAGACCTGCCTAACCAGTTAAGAAAGCACTTAGATAGTGCTAGATGGAGAGGGAGCATCTTATTATGATGATGAAAAGCTCCATTATTACGTATCATTACGTTACTAAGCCCTCTACGAGGGCGTGTGCCAACCCACCAGTTCTGCTGCTGTCTCACCCTGACAGGACTCACAGACACAGGGGGCTACTCTACCCTGGGAAACACCAGGGCCCCATGCAAGGCCTATGAGGAAGCCCCCATTTCCTGCCCAGAGGCCTACCTGAATCCTCTCTCGTCCTTGTAGCAGTGAGCTGCAGACACCATCCAGCTGGGCGAGATGAGTGAAGCCCCACACACGTGGCCATGGCCCTTGGCATGGAGGCTCACCTGCCAGGGCCACTCGCCTTCGTCTGCATTCTCGCCTCCAACGACCCGAGACTGCCTGCTGAACGACCGCAGCCCACAATCTAGGGGGAGGGGCAGAAACCCAAAGAATGGTGAGATATGGTGGGGCACGAACCCCAGGCAAGAGCCCAAGTGGCATTGGCACTGCTAAGCAGTCATGACATGAGGGACCCCCTACAAGTAGCTTTGCAACACAGAGATGCATGCACATCCACCTGGCTCCTCTCCCCTACTCTCATATTCAAAACCCTCACACTCCCACCTCCCCTCACCCTGCACAAATATATTTAGAGGCCTCCAGACACCTGCTGGTTTGCTTAGATTTAATTTGGGCATCGTTTGCCTAGATGTCCTTGTGGAAGGTGGAAAGACACAGCTCTCAGAAGGAAGAGCAGATGGGTGACATGAAGTCACGGGACAGCTGAAGCAATGAGCAAATTTAACCTGCACCCAGCTCTTCTGAAATACACAAAAGGCTGCAAACTAAAGTATGGGGCTGTGGGGAGCCCTGCAGAGGAACTTGGTAAGCTGCTTTCTCCTCCAGGCAGAATGGGCAAGCCAGGGCTGCCACTCACTTGTGGTTGGGTGAGCAGAACAGGGGCCAGCCCAGCACTGCAGTAGGGACCCCAGTCCTGCCACAGAGGCACTGACACGCTGGCTGCCTGGGCCTTGCCTCTAAGACCAGAGCTAGCCCATGGGGCAGTGCCTTTGTGCCAGCTGGCAGTCGTCCCTTCTCCAGGTACACACATGGTCTCACCAGGCAGAGCTGGGTGAGGGAGGCACTGGCATAATCTCCACCTCTGAATGCACCTTGCACAGTAAACAACCTGCACCACCATCCAGGGCGTCCCTCCTCACCACAGTCCTTTTCATCTGAGCCGTCACTACAGTCCTTCTTCCCATCGCACTCAGGGTTGCCCTTGCTCACACAGAGTCCGTTGTGGCAGCGATAGGTGTGTTTGGTGCAGGTGACGACGCTCACTGCTCAAGGAGAACGCAGGGGAAGGGAATCAATTCCTCAACAATCAGAAGACCCACAATCCACCCACCTTATGCCCCTTCCCCAGGCCTGCCCCACCTATCCACACCCATGCCCACTGTTTCTCCGAGTCCTGCTTAAGGTTATCCACCTTCCAGAAGATTCTGCCCTGCTAACCGTTTCTCATCACGCCTAACGAGTAAGTAAGTGGCTTGTGTTCACTATCCTCAGATATGTGGCCTGTGTGTTTGCCCATGGCTGCTTCCTCCAGGTGCAACCCCCACTGGGAGAAAAGCCCCTGGAGGAGGGTGTGCTGGGCCAGGCCTCACCGCTGTCACACTTGGCTTCATCTGACCCGTCTCCACAGTTGTCCTTCCCGTCACACTGCTGGTTTCGCGGGAGGCACTTCCCATTGGTGCACTTGAAGGTCTGAGCTGGACAATCTGGGGAAGCACAAAGCACTTGGCAGTGGCTGGAAGTTCCCATGGGAGTCAGGGGCAGGAAGCCGGGACAGCCCCTCCCAGTGGGACTCACTACAGTCCTGCTCGTCGCTGTTGTCCCCACAGTCGTTCACGTTGTCACAGACCCAGAAAAGGGGCTTGCAGAACTTGTTCTTGCACGTGAACTGGTATGTGGCATTGCATTCTGGAGGAGGGCAAGGGACAGCTGTCAGTGGCCAGGGGACAGCTGGGATCCAGGCTCCCTCCAGCCTCTCACATCATGCCGCTGCCCAGGATCACTTTCCCACCTGGGGGTTGGGTCTGGGGCGCCCCTGCTATGGAAGTCACCCCAGACCCTACAGACACACTCCATAGTCAAGGCTTCTAAATGGTGGAGGGAGGGAAGGAGGAGTTGGGAACAGCGTGCCGGCCATGGGGACAGTTGGCAGGAGCCGGGTCACAGCCAGGACAGAGGGACACAGGGCCCGCAGCCCCACTCACGGCAGTTGAGCTCATCGGTGTAGTCCGTGCAGTCGGCCCAGCCATCGCAGCGCAGCTCGTTCCGGATGCATCGCCCCGTTTTACACATGAACTTCCCTGGGCATGCTGCAGAGGAGACACAGGATAATGTCCAGGCTGCCAGCCCAGCCACCCCTCCCTTCATCATGCTGAGGACCCAAGAGAGAACTTCTCGTTCCCACCCTCCACAGAATACCAGGGCTGCAGGTGTCCTCCAGGGCCTGGGACTTCCATGCCCCCAAACTGTGACCAGGGCCTTCCTACCACTGGCTGGGGAGTGCAGGCCATGGAGCCTCAGTCTGGACTGCATAGGGTGGGTACCTCCCAAACCTCAATGACCAAGCCCCGGGAAACACTGGGCAAAATGGAGTGAGGCCGGCTGGGCGTGCAGGCAGTTCTACTGCCCGCCGGCACCCTGGGCCAGCCACGTCCCGAGGGCCAGGCCCCGGCCACAACACAAGTGACATTGGCCTGCAGGCTCATGATGTATGTGTCAGTCCACATGCCACACAGCATCACAACAGATGCCTTCATTGTAAGTACTTTCCACATCTCAGTGTTTCTGAAATTGATGTGTCTGACCATTGACATCATCAGGCAGACGACAAAGTTGAGAGGAGGCCTCTGTGGCTTTCCCTACACAGGTTGTTTAGTCATTTAGCAAAAGGTGTTTATTGATCCAATTTCACTTTAGGTGGTAAGCTGGGCAGCTGAATTTTTTTTTTAAAGATTTATTTATTTATGGGGTATAAGCCAGAGGAGGGGGATGTGAAAGGATTCACCAGAGACAGAGTGGGGAACAGGATAGGCAGATTGAATGAAATACACTGCTTAGGGGAGCAGTGGGCATCATGTGGGTAGCTCCCTGGCCGGGGATCAAACTCATGCTGCAGTGGCTGCAGAGAGATTCATAGGTTGTGTCTTAACTCCTTGTGCCACCAGGGAGGCCCTGGGGCCGGCAGCTGAATTTTAACTTATATTTGGAATCTTACATGTCATCAAAATGTCTTCCAAAAGGTTATTCGACAAAAAATCAAGTGTGTGTGGAAGAACAGGTTGGTGGCACAGAAGACAATGAAATTAAAGGCAGTAGGAAGCGCTGAATCTCTTAGTGAAGATGACAGAATTCTCCAAGCTCGGAGTATTTAGTGTGATGATTCCTGCCCCAGGATTTCCTAGGATGTCTCAAAAGGATGCCACTTATGCAAAAATGCCACAAAGACAACCAGAGATTCTCACATTCACAGGGACAAAGTAACTCAGGGGCTCTCAGGCTCTAGCACCTGACACAGGACTCCAGGCCATGGCATGTGCCAGGTACACCTTGGCATTTATCATAAATGCATTCAGGGAAGAGTTTTTTCCCTCAAAAGCTACTAGAGGGAGGGTCTCCCTAGCGGTGCAGGGGTTAAAGTCTCAGCGTTATCAAGCTATCACCAGCCACTGCAGCATGAGTTTGATCCCCGGCCAGGGAGCTAACCCACATGGCACAGCAGACCCCTCCTATCTCGCCTGCTGCTCCCCTCAGCAGTGTGTATCAGTCGACCTGCCTGTTGTGCTCTCTACTTTGTCTCTGGTGAATCCTCTCACCACCCTGCACCTCTGGCCTACACCCCAGTTCTTGTATGCATAAACACATAAAATAAATCTTTAACAAAAAGCTACTAGACGGAACCTGAGATTCAGGAAGCACAATGCCCAGAAGATACAGAACTGAGTGTGCAGCGGGCTCAGGCCCTGTGGCCAGGCTCCTGCCTCTACGGATGCCTCACTCACGGTCGCTGGAGTCGTAAGACACATAGTCAGCCAAGAAGCCCGTGTCGGTGTGGGACTGATCCGAATGGAAGCGGACGGTGATCCTGTTGTTCTGGCTGGCAACCACAAACTGGGGCCTCTCTCCACAGTACCTGGAGGAGGGGCGACAAGTAGGAGGAGGATCCCTCAAGGGGCTTGGGCACCCCCACCCCACTGCCCCAGTGCTCACTTCTCCCCGTTGACCTCCACATAGTCCTTGGTGCAGGTGCCCAGAGGGACATTGGGCTCCAGCAAGTAGAAGAGTTTGAAGATAACCTTCACGTTCCGGTTGCTGGGCACCTGCAGAGAGAGATGCGTTCGGGCTCTGCTGCTTCTTTCCCTCTTTCCTAAACCCAGCAAGGTCCCGTGGGTGGGGCTGCTGGGGCTGGGGGCAGCCGCACAGATCAGGCCAGGGCTGCTGAGCTTTGCCCTCTGCCATCCAGGTGGGTGCCACAGACCACACAGCAGGAGCGACTCAGGCTCCTTGTACGGGCAATCACGCTCAGCGGTGAGACACAATTAATGACTAACGGAAGTTCTGACGTCAAAGAAAAAAGGGATGATGGTGTGAGGGGCAGTTTCATCTGTCCAATGGGCTCTTGTCTCGCTGCCATTTAGCAGATGCTTTCTACGTGCCTCACACAAGGACAGCACCTGTGGACAGTGCCTCTGAAGGACAGATGGACAGCGCCTTGGAGGGACTGGACAGTGCCTCTGAGGGACAGATGGACAGCGCCTTGGAGGGACTGGACAGTGCCTCTGAGGGACAGATGGACAGCGCCCCTGAAGGACAGACATCATCACACTCACTTTATCCAAGAGCCAGGCAGGCGGTGAGAGGTGAAAAGGGCCCAAGGTGCCTCGGTCTGCACAGACCAAGACCAGGAACTGAATCTGGGTCTCCTTACCAAGGCAGATCAGCCCTGCGGAACCCACCCTGCCCTCTGGGGCTTCAGAAGTGGGACCTCTTTGGTTGCTAAAGGGGCTCACCCTCCCTCTTCTGCCCTTCCTCCCCTTCCAGCCTGAAGTCCCTTTCCCTCCCTCCCTCCTGCTGTCTCTCCTTTTCCTTCTCTCCTTCTGCCCCTCCCCCCCTCCCTCCCATCTCCTACCTGGATCTCCCACGTGCAGTTGATGTTGGGGGGGTAGTGGCCAGGGTAGAAGGGGCTGGTAAATGTCCCATTGTTTCCCTGTAAGTAGCCTCCACAGCCTGAGAGGAAAGGTGGGAGAAAGCATGAGCAGTTGCTTGGCCAGACAGGCAGCCCAGGGGTCCTGACACAAAGCCCACACTTCTCTCCAGCTATGTGCCGGGCACCTAGACTCCCACAGCTCCCAGAAAGTCCATGTGCTGGAGGCTGACTGTTTAGAGATGGCCCCTGACCCAGGGGGTGGGCAACAGGCTCTCTGATTTAAGCATTAAACCTCTATCCCTGCTCAGGGTCAGCACAATGTCACAGGCTTGACCCACGACCTCTGGGGCTCAGACCAGTCTCCAAGGCCTGTCCCTTCTCAGTTCTGCCCCTGTCCCTCCTTACTGCTCATGCGAGGCAGCTGGAAGAACACGGCCTCAAAGCCAGGGTGTTGTCGCTCAGTGTTGGCTATCAGCGTGACGAGCAGGACGTTCTGAGAGGAGAGGAAGGTCAGGTTGTAGGAGGGAGGGTAGGTGCCACACAGCCTGTGAGGGCAGAGAGGACAGGCGTCAGGGAGAGCAGACAGAACCCAGGCAGAGGGGCCCGTGAACCCCCCCTAGCCCGGCTCAGAAAGACCCTCCCCACACAACCAGCAACCTGAGTAAGGACTTAGTTGTAAGACTGTCTGTTTAAAACGGAAAGTTCAGAAACACTGAATGCCTAACAATAGAGGATTCACAAAATAAGCCAAATGAACAAAGGGCTAAAGAACAGCAATAGAGTAGTAACAGCAACAACTAACACTTACTATGACCATCCCAGGTGCTGCTCCTAGTACTTTTACAGGTACTAACTCAGGTATTCAAAACCTATCAATGAAGCAGATACTATCACCCCATTTTACAGATAAGGAAACTGAGGCATCCAGAGGAGCTCTAACTTGCCCAAGACGCCAAAATTAGCAAGTGACTGCAATTCAAACTCAGCATGCAGGCTCTGGAGTCCCTCCAACTGAGAATGGTGACATGCTGTCTCTAGCAGGAAGACCACCATTAAAAATGGCAATTAGAGGGGCCCCTCTGGTGGCGTAAGGGTTAAGTCTCAGTGCTGTCTCCACGATGGCCTGAGTTCGAACCCCCACTAAGGAGCTAACCCATATGTAGTACAGCAGACCTCTTCTGTCCTGCCCGCTGCTCCCCTTAGCAGTGTATTTTAGTAGATCTGCCTGTTCTGTTCCCCACCTTGTCTCTGGTGAATCCTCTCACCCCCCACACCTCTGGCCTATACCCCAGTTCTTGTATGCATGCATAAATAAATCTTCAAAAAAAATGGCAATTAGAGACGGGACTACTGACTTGGAAAGGTCATCACAATACACTTCATTTTTTAAAAGCAGACAAAATGAATGTCCCACATAACCCTACTTTCAAATATAAACACAAACATACACATTCATAGAAAAAAAAAGTCTGAGACGAGACATCAAAAATTTAAGTGATTATTTCTAGATGGTAAGATTACCAGTGACTCTGTGTGTGCTCATTTTCTACTTCTTCCTTTCAGAACCATGTATTTATCTGTTTACACTTAGCCACTAGCCCCTGCCACAATCACGCTAGAGCCAGGGACCAGACGACTAGAGATAATCCTGGACTTCTAAGTCCACCAGAATTACTCAAACTAGACAGTCCCAGCCCACTTACCCTGCTCTGCCTCACCTTTGCTACAGAAACCACAATGAAAGCTCTTCCCTACTTATCCCTCCAGCGTGCTCTGCCTCCTGACCTGCTCCGGTGTGCCCCTATGGCCCTGCATGGCCCCCCTCTTGGAAACTGCAATGAACTATTTTTTCAATAACAGTCATCTTCCTCATCTGTTGTCTTCACCACACCTGACTATAAAACCTATATTCACAACAGAGGCAAGACCTTTGCTTGACAGGGAGGGAGTGCTCCCTGCTCACTGGCATCTCAGGACCAGTGATCCTGCCACCCCTTTGCCAAGACTGATGGAATCATCTCTGAGATGCTGCTGAGGAGTGTGTGCTGTGGCCAGTGGCCAGCATCAGACACTGTCTCTCCAGCCTATACTATAATTCATTCTGGAGACCAGGTCACCAGGGCAGCTGGCAGCTCCCGCAGCCCAGCACTGCTCCCCAGGGACACTCACTCCACCAGAGCACGGGGTTCCACAGGGCTCAGGCTGTCATACACCATGACCAGGTCACGGTCACTGCCGCTGCCTTTGCAGGGTGTGACATCGAAGCTGCGGAAGGTGAGGCTGAGCATGAAATTGGCATCTCCCCGCAGGGTCCACTGGCAGCGGGCGTGTGATGGGTAGGGGCTGTCGGGGAAGCCAGGCGTGGTGAAGCGAATGGGCTCACTCCCTCGGGCGTGGAGGGCAAAGCTGCAGCTGTCTGTGGGGGAGACAAAGGAGGCGGGACAGTTGGGCAGTGCCAGGGCCATGCTGGCCAATACCACCACGTGGCTTTGGAGGGCTCCATTGACCCAATGGGCACCTGGCCACACCCCTCCTCCTCAGGGATAAGGGTGTGATACTTACTATCCTGGGTGGTCTCTATTGTTCTGGGGTCAGCAGCTAAAAAATAAGAGGGAGAATAAAGTCGTTACTGACGTGGTCTATTTCCTTATTTCTGCATCCTCAGCCCCTAATGGGAAGTGCCAGCTGCAGGCACAGTCTTCTTGTGCCCACACCAGTGAGGGAGTGTTGGCTGCCCTGCAATGGTCCAGGGCCCGGCCCTATTCAACCAAAGGCTGGTCCGACAAGTGCCCACCCCCCCCCCAGTGCCCTGCACTCACGGAAGGCCACCACAGAGGTCACCTCGAAGTTGTTCATAGCACGGGAGCGGGGTGGCAGTGTGATCACGTGCTCCTGGGCCATGGCGCGGTCAGCCTCCTCCACCAGGTACTGCGGGATTCTGAATTCTGACCAGTAGTAGGCGATGACACTGCCCTCGCTGGGGGACAGAAGCCGCCTGAGACATGGGTGGGCCCTGAGACCCAACCTGTCCCGACCACCCACCCCCACTACTGCTGAGTGTAGATGGGGCAGCTCAGGTTGTGAAAGGGTCACTGAATGACATTCCTCAGGAAGAGCCTCCCCACATGCTCCTTTGTGCTCACTCCGCTTGGGCCTCTGAGCAGGAACTTCTACCCCTACCTAGCCCTCTGCTTTCAGTCTCACATCCAGGCAGACAATGTGGGACCAGCTGACACTTAATAGTGAGAAAAAAGGGCCTCCCTGGTGGCACAAGGGGTTAAGCACAGCATGTGAAACTATCTGCAGCCTCTGCAGCATGAGTTCGATTCCCCAGCTGGCCAGGGAGCAACCCACATGGTGCAGCAGACCTCTTCCATCTCGCCTGCTGCTCCCCTCAGCAGTGTATTTCAGTCAGTCTGCCTGTTCTGCTTCCTACTCTGTCTCTGGTGAAACCTCTCACCCCCCACACCTCTGGCCTATACCCCAGTTCTTCTATGCATAAATAAATAAATCTTTAAAAAAAAAAAGGAAAAAAGAGTGAGAAAGAAACTCAGGTTGGTCTGGAACTCTCCCATTAGCTGGACACTGAGCAACAACTTCTAGAATGTTTACTGAGAGGGGACAAGAATGCCAGCTGCCACACAGCATTCCCAAAAATCATATGCAACAAGTAAAATAAAAGATACTTTTGTGATAAAGGCCATTTTTTACAGAAATATTTCAAAAGCGGACCAAGCAAGGACAATGTGAGGCTCACTGAAGCCTTCCTGAGCACCTCAACACCCCCTGACTCAACCTCGGAAAAGTAACACCCATTGCTGAGGGGCTGGTGTGGCAGGCCCTGTGCAGAGCATGCCCACACCCACACACCCCATCCGGGCAACTCTGCTACGTCATGCTTGCCCTGGAGACGGAAGTTAGGCGGATAAGAGCAGGAGGACAGAACCAGGACAGTGCCCTGGCCCTCCAGCCAGCACTTGGCAGCTTTGCCATGGAGCAGACAACATGCCACCTCCCACCACACTGAGCCAGCCCCGCGACCTCGCAACAGCCTCTCCCCAGCACCCACCTGAAAGCAGTCACGGCCGACTGCCTGTGGTAGGGACCCAGAGCCGGGTTCCTGCTGTACAACAGCACCAGCTGAGGAAGGAGAAGAGGCTCACAGCAGGCTGGAGGGCAGCCACAACCCCCTGCCCTCCCTCTGACCCCCTGCCCACCCTCCGGGCACCCACGCCCACGCTGTTCCCTCCCTCCTGGGGCAGTGCTCCTTCCCAGATGCCTGGAAACCAGGTCCAGAAATGGTCTTTTAACCCCAGTGTGGGTGGGAGTGCCAGCTCAGCAGCTGAGTCGGGGCTCCCCACCCAGAAACTGGACTCACCGCTTCTTTCACTTTGCTCGCTAGGTTTGCAAACTCCATGGAGTTTGAGTTCTCATAGGCATCCAGAAAGTTCTCATTTGTGATCCTCAGGTAGCCATTGAAGACCTTCTGGACCCGCACATTCCGATCTGTGAGAGACGAGGGAAGGAGGGGGCTCAGAGGAAGTGGCAGCCCTCTAAGTGTTAGCCCACACCCCCGTCCACAGCCGCCCCAGCAACACTGAGGGGGCGACATAGACAGCCAGAGCAGGGGTGAGCCTCAGGGCAGCTGTGACCAGCTCTCATCACCCCCACCTGCACCGGCCATCATCCCTTCCTCACATCCACAAAAGGTGGCCCCTGAGTCTGTCCGTTGAAAGAGGGGATGCAACCAGCCCACTTGGCCATCCCCAAGCCTCACCACTTTACTCACAGTGGAAGTGCCACACGAGCAGCCCGGTCATGAGGGAAAGCACCAGGAAGCCCACGAACAGGGTCAGCAGCACCACCCAGCGCCGGGGGCCACGCTTCTCCATCTTCTTGGTGTTGTTGACCGGCAAGAACTCCACGCCTTCCTCGCAGCCATTCATGTTCTGAACAGAGAAACACAGTGTGCTAAGCAATTTGCTCACCTCCACAGCATTCCCAGGCTGCCCATCAAGGGAAGAACGTTTACTTTTTGTAAGGTCCAGCACACACTCAAGGAGAAACGAAGAGCAGCTTTCCCATCCTTGCATCCCGCCATCCGGGCAGCACCAGCAATGTGTCACCCAAGAATCAGTAGTTTAAATGAAAACGAAATGAACAGCCTGTGTAAATCCGTCACTGAGGCCCTCCACTTGAATGAATCACCCTCAAGGAGGTGGATGCCCAGGTGTGGGACGCACAGGCCCAGCCCAGGGCCATGACTGGCCACGGATTGGCTGCCTGGGGCCTCTGTGCAGACTTCTAAAGGCAGCCCCTCCTCCAGCGAACATAGCCACAGGCTCTGTGAGGATTCCCGGTAGAGGAGGTCCCCACTCCAAGGCAGGAGCTGTGGGCATGAAGTAAACCACACACCCTCTCCAGTGGCCTTCCTCCATCAATGTTTAACTGGCCAAAAGGAAAAAAGGCAGTAAACCCAGGCAGCACTGCCATGCCTCAGTGGAAAGTCACTCTTCTTTTGGACTTCAATGTCCCCATCCAGGAATCTCAAGGTGAGGTGACAAGGTCAGGTCTTTACTGTACTCCACACCCATGCACAGACAGGAACACGAAAAGCAAACAAACCTCACCAACAGGACCACAGTTTCCCCAGAGTCCTCCCTGCCAGTAGCACCCAGGAAGAAGAGGCACGAACATGGACGGGGGCAGGCGGGGTGTCTGCAGCACTAGGCGACAGCACTAGGCTATGCCCTGTAGCATAGCCTTGATCTGTCCTGAAGCCTGAAGAAGCTGTGCCCTTTTAGGTTTAATGACCAGGTACCCACTCCAAAGGGTGTTGTAATAAAAGCAAGAGTGCCAGCCCAAATCCCACAGATGTGGCCACTTTCAAGTTTCTAGATGTGGTTCTTCTGGTGTTCACCTCATAACTTGAAATGTTGCACCTGAACTGACATTTCTGGATTTGTCACATTTACCCAGTTCCTATTAACTCACTACCATGAAAGATTCTTTTTATTTTTTAAGATTATTTATTTACGCATACAAGAACTGGGATGCAGGTCAGAGGTACCGAGGGTGAAGGGATTCAGCAGAGACAGAGTGGGGAGCAGAAGAGGCGGATCTATTGAAACACACTGCTGAGGGGGAGCAGCAGGTGAGACAGGAGAGGTCTGCTGCACCAAGTGGGTCAGCTCCCTGGCCTGGGATCAAACTCGTGCTGCAGTGGCTGCAGATAGCTTCATAGTGCTGAGACTTAACCCCTTGTGCCACCAGGGAGGCCTCACTACCATGAAAGAGTCTCCCCACCCCTAACCCATTTGGATACTGATATCACTACTGTTCAGTACTGTCCCTTAATCAAATTCTGCAGAGAAACACATGCCATAGCTAATGCTATAGTGGTAATCATACTGCAACTGATAAATGAAACAAATCGATACATTGCACACCTTAAACTTACAATGGCTACATATTGATTATATCTGAATAAAAACACACCCCAGAGGCAACCACTTAAGATGCTTTCAAGAATTTTGCTCTCCAAGGGGTTAAAGTCTCAGTGCTATCAAGCTATCACCAGTCACTGCCGCCTAAATTCAATCCCCAGCCAGGGAGCTAACCCACCGGCAGCAGACCTCTCCCGTCTCACCCACTGCTCCCTTCAGCAGTGTTTCAGTAGATCTGCCTGTTCTGCTCCCCACTCTGTCTCTGGTGAATCCTCCCACCACCACCCCTGCCCCCCAACATACACACACCTCTGGCCTATTCCCCAGTTCTATGCATAAACAAATAAAAATAAATCCTAAAAAAAGAAGAGGTTTGCTCTCAAATTTGTGTTCCTAAATATGCCAATACCTCTCTCTCTTGTTTCATCTATTTAAAATATAACCAACTGGGGGCCCTGCCGGTGGCTCAAGGGGTTAAGTCTCAGTGCTATCAAGCTAACAGCAGACTCTGCAGCATGAATTCCATCCCCAGTCAGGAAATTAATCCACATGGCACAGCAGACCTCTCCTGCCTAGCCTGCTGCTCCCCTCAGCAGTGTTTTCAGTCCATCTGCCTGTTCTGCTCCCCGCTCTGTCTCTGGTGAATCCTCTCACCCTCTGTACCTCTGGCCTGTACCCCAGCTCTGGTCTGCGTAAATAAATAAAATAAATCTTTAAAAATAAAATACAACGAACTGACTTCCTACTATGATCATGTAGATTTAACACCCTTTCCTTCGTTTTTCTCACCTAGTCTCCCAAGAGTTACAGGGTACCATTTTTAAAATATTATATCTATACTTTATTCATTATTTATCTTTGAAAATATTGTCCACTATTATGTTTCTTTTCCTGTACAACTAATTTGCTTTGCCAGCTGCAAATATTTATTTGCTTGGGTTTCTTTTAACATATACAATCTAAGAGAGCCGTAATGCTCTTCTCAACCTCTCCCACAGAATGTCAAATATCCTACCATTTCTTTTTCTGCCTGGGGTCTCCCTTCTAGAGCTCTCTGTCATTTCCTATAGCTATTGTCTGCAAGTTCCCTCACCATCTCTCTGGAAATTTTTTCCCTCTCTCTCTTCAGTTAAAGCTCCTTTTCCTGGATTCCATGCCTTCATCAATCTTTGCTTACCTACATTTTTTTGTGGAACACATACTTCCTTTGTTTCCTGAGCATTAAAATTTTTGAGACTTTGCACATTTCTCAAAATACCTAAATTCTGCACTCACAGTTACTGATGGTTTGGCTGGTTATAGGACTGTACATTTCCAATAATTCTCACTTAGAATTTTGAAGGCACTTCTGTCTATATGCTTCTAATTTTGCTTTTGAGAAATATATTAATACAATCATTACATTAATACAAAATCATTCATGACTTTCTCTGAAAGTCTTAAGAATATGTTTTGAAGTCTTCAAATTTCATTACGCTGAGTTCTCCACCTACCCTTTGAATTTGGAAACCCATCTTTTGGACTGGGAAAACGTTCTTGCTTTATTTTAAAAATTATGTCCTTCTTTCATTTTCTCTGATCTACTTTTCTGCAACTCCTGCTGTATTGGTCCTCTTTATCCTTTCTCTGCTACTATCGATCTCATTGTTTTTAACCTTTCTATTGAGTCTGTCATTTCTGCTATCAAAACTTTAATTTTCAAAAATTTCTGTCTTGTTCTCTGAAGTTTGACTGCAAAATTTTCTCATCTTTACATTTCCATTGGGTATCTTTTCTCTGTTTTTCACTTTCTCTTTCTTGTTGAAGGCTTTCCTCAATTGCCCAGGGATGCCTAGTTGTTTGCTTAGGAATGAGGTCCTAAAGGTTGTTTGGAAGCTGTGTGCAGGGCTTGCCACTGTAGCTTCATTGTGATTCACCAGTAAGTCAGATTTCTTTGCCAGGAACTCCCAAGTGCTAGGCTATCTTTTCTATGGGATGATTTAATTGCTCCAGAGAATAATTTTCTAATTTCCTGGATGGAGCAATTTAAACCCAGCCACTAGCAATCAGGAACAGGTGCGAATAAAGAATTCATACCTCTCCTTTTGCCCCTCACCTCAACTTTCCTCTGCACCTGTGTCTCAAATCTGGAGAAATCAATTCCCCAACCCTATGGAGGACTGGTGGGGTAGGGGGCTCTCTGTTTGGGATGTAGTTGTGGATCCAGGAATTTCTAACAATGCTCTCTTGTCTCACCTCTGCCTTCTGTCATATTCAAGCCCAGTTCCTGAACCTGGCCAAGGCTGTTATCAAAGAAATACTACAAAAATATTTTCAAGAACTGAAGAAAGGCATATATACATCTTTAAATCCAAAGGGCTTAGGGGTGGGGGTGAAAAAAAATTTAAAGGGCTGAGAAAAATAAATGAGAAAGTACACATAAGTGTGTCATGGCGACATTTCAGAACACCAAGGAGAAAGAGTAGATCCTCTACACACATTAGTCTAGCTTCTCTTCATTTCCCATATTTCATATTTTTTGTCATTTGGCTCTGTTGTAGGAATTTTTGAAAACTTGCTCCTGTAAACTTTCTAAGGAATTTTAAAAATAGTTTCACTGAGGCACAACTGACATAATATTTTTAAAGTACAACTTTGGGTTTATATGAATCCCATGAAACCATCACCATGATCAAGATAGTGAACATGTCCATGACCTTTGAAAGTGTCCTCCCCACCCTACCCTCCTGTTCTCCCTGATAACTTCTCTTGTACCCAAGCAACCATTCATCCACTTCCTATCAGTAAATATTAGCTATGGGGACCTCCATGGGGGCTTAGGGGCTAAGTTTCAGCACTATCACCTATAAGGCCTGAGTTTGATCCCCAACCAGGGAAATAACCCACATGGCGCAGCAGACCTCTCCTGCCACCCGCTGCTCCCCTCAGCAGTGTCCTTCGTCTGTCTGCCTGCTCTGCTCCCCGCTCTGGCTCTGGTGAATTCTCTCACCCTCCTGCGCTTCTGACTGTATCCAGTGCTTGTATAAATAAATAAATATATATATCTTTTAAAAAAAAAAGATTAGCTAGCTGCTACTACAGTTTCATATCAATGGAATTCTATGCCTGTACTCTTTTTTGTATGGTTTTCACTCAGCACAACGTGTTGAGGTTCACCCACAGTCTGTCCATGATGGTAACAGTGCATTCTTTTCTGCTGTTGAATCGTATCCCACTGTATGGACAGACAAGTCGTTTACCTATTCACCTACTGATGAATATTTAAATTGTTTCCAGTGTGGGGCTATTACAGTTAAGCTGCTATGAACATTCCTCAACAAGCCCTTTTACTGGCATATGATTTCATTTCTCATGTCAATACCTAAAAGCAGTGAGATATGCCTAGCAAGCTTGTATAACAGGTGTATGTTTAACTTAAGAAAGAAACTGCCAAATTGTTTTCCAAAGTGATTGTACCGGCTCACATTTCCATCAGTAGTGTATGGGGTTCCAGTTTTCCATAT